CCTGAGGGGCTCTTCCCAGAATCCCAGAATCCGCAAGCACAAGACTCCCCCCTCTGTGCAACGGCAGGGACAGCGGGGATTGGCTCTCCCTGCCCTGGCTTCCTAGAAGGACGAGTGCCCCCTGCCGGCCACGCAGGGAAAGGCAGGCTCTAGGGAAGTGCTCCAAAGTTTCTCAAAAGAATGATTTTGAAAGACACGTGTTACTTTTGACCATGAGCAAAAATCCAAGTCAAAGGGTATCACTGGCCCTGTCCCCAGCCAGCCCGCGGGACGTGTGAACTATCACAGGGCTGCAGCTGCCTGGGAGGGAACGAGATGAACGAGTGGGGATCTCTCACCCTCACCCCCGACGGGGCTCATGCAGACAGGGCTGCACACACACAGCCCCCCCCACCCCCACCCCCTGCATTAGAGAGAATGCCAGGTCCCAGGCCGCTGCAGAGGGTGGCGGGCCTGAAACACGTCACCTTCTGCCCAGCGCTTTTCATACACAACTCTCTTGGTCACTCCATTTTTGCAAAGCACTTCCCCTTTCCTTTTTTTCTTTTCCAGAGTAGAGCTGGTTTATCATGTAGTCTTTTCCTGAAACTCTGAAGCTCCCGCATACAGAAATTCGATGTCAATTAATTGTATATCGGTGGGCTATGCTTTCAAAAAGTATAAAGTTGAGAGTTAACAAAAGCGATCTTTCTGGCCATAAAGGCAAAATTAGGGAAAAAAAGGAAAAAATTTACTTAAAATCCTCTACTTTTTGCCTGTAACAGAAAACTGTTAATGTCTCCTCCCATCCCCACCCACCCCCACTTCCCCCTACCCCTGGGTGAATTTCCCTTCCTTGGCTGCACGGATTGTTGCAGAAGGCTGGATCCTGGCGATGGCAAGACTTAATTGTGAGGCCATGGCTTCAGACTCAAAGGCTGAAGTACAAAGTGAAATTCTGACTCATCCTATTTATGTATTCATGGCTTTGGCAAAACATCTTAGCAATCATTCAAAAGAAAAAACAATGAAAATTTTCCAAACGTTCATCTGGCCTCGAACTCCATGATCATAGGAGGGAGACGTAACCTTCTGCTAACAGATAAATCCTCACAGCAGGTCTGACACACACCAGCTCTGGCTGCTTGCCCTCCACGGCCTGGGGTCCAGGCAGCTTCTCGGAAGCTGCTGGAATCTAGTTAGCAGTTCGAGCTATGGAAAATATCTGCTGGCAACCAATAAATAAGCAGCACAGAATGTAAAACATGAAAAATTTCATTAGACGGTTGAGGAAAAATTGACAATTCTTTTATCACTTTTTAAAAGTACATTTTAGAAAGAGAGCGAGCGAGCAGGGGATGGGGTGGGGGGGAGAATCTTAAAATGCTCAGCACGGAGCCGGAAGAGGGCCTTGATCCCAAGACCCCGGGATCATGATCTGAGCCAAAATCATGAGTGGGACGCTCAACCAACCGAGCCGCCCAGGTGCTCCTCTTTTATCACTTTTAATCGTGTCTTAATACGGTTTCTGATGACCACTTAATTCTTTTTTTTCTTTAAAGTTTATTTTGAGAGAGTGAGGGCCCATGGGAGGGGCAGAGAGACGGAGAGAGGGAATCCCGAGCAGGCTCCGCGCTATCAGCGTGGCCCACGGACCATGTGATCGTGACCTGAGCCGAAATCAAAAGTCAGACGCTTAACTGACTGAGCCGCTCAGGCGCCCCTCCCACCACTTAATTCTTTTTTTTATTTTTTTAATGTTTTTTTTTTTTTTAATTTATTTCTAGGAGAGAGAGAGAGAGAGAGCGTGAGCAGGGGAGGGTCAGAGAGAGAGGGAGTCACAGACTCTGAAACAGGCTCCAGGCTCTGAGCTGGCAGTCAGCACAGAGCCCGACACGGGGCTCGAACCCATGAACCACGAGATCATGACCTAAGCGAAAGTCGGACGCTTAACCGACTAAGCCACCCAGGCACCCCCTTTTTTTTTTTTTTTAAATTTTTTTTAATGTCCCACCACTTAATTCTTAATACTACCTTACAGGTTATGACTTGGGTCCTTTTCCTCTGAATAAAATAAGGCTCTCACTAAAGCAAAGTCCAGCATATATGTCGTTTTAAAGGGCTCCTGCCAAGTTCTGTCCTCAAGGTGCGACAGCAGGATGGGGACGAAGTGGCATGGAGCTTCCGAAGCGATCAGTCATGTTGATTGTTTTCCCCCACTGGATTTCTGGAGTGAAATTGTTGCCATTTTAGTTTCAGAGAGCCTACAAATCACATCTGTATCCAATATATACACATGCGGCAAAGATAATTGAGGAATATTTGATTTTCTGCAGGATTTGCTGGCGATGCTATGATTCAGCAGAAAATCTTTTTTAAAAAAGTGCTTTCAAGGCCAACAGAACACAGAGAGGGACCCAAAGTACTAGAGTCTGCCAAAAAGACGTGATAAACAAACACAGGAGAGAGAACATAATTTGGAGACCACAATGTCCGAGCACCATCATCCTAGGGTTAACGAACAGTTCAAATGAGTTCATGTACACAGAACCTGGGAGAACAAAATGGTACTTGCTACACATAGACGATGATATTGCGGCGGGCGGTTGGTGAATGTTCCAAAGCAGAGGCACAGAGTACAAACAGATGCCTTAAAACCGTGCAGCCCTTGTATGAAAACATCTTGAAACAGGCACAAACTTCCACACACAATGCAAACGTAATTTTCCCAAACCCAGGACTGGGAGGAGGGAAAGGGGTGGAAAGCGGCAAGAAGGAACTCGCCTTGGTGACGTCGCACCTAGAACCCAGGCCTCACACCTCCACATTCCGAGTCCCAGAACAGACTCAGGCTTCTGCTGTGGCATCCAGGCTCTTCATACAGAGACTCCGTCTTCACCTGCGTCTCCCACCATCGGTCCTAGATGAAAGGAACCCAATTTCCGGCCCACCATCTCTTCGTTTCACCCAGAGGAGAGCAGGACCAGTGGAGGTGGGTCCTACCAAGGCCTTCCCTTCCTGACGGAGGCTGAGCCCACATGGTGTGGGAAACAGAGATGAGAAAAGCAGGCCACACCCATGGCCGGAGCAGTATTTATAAAGCCAGCTGTCTTGTCAGATAGGGGTTAGGAATCCCAAACGCATTCAGATCTGGCATTAGGGATTGGCAAGCACTCTCTCAGAGGGCTGGGCACGGTCTTGGTTTCTCGCATTTTCCCTTATTTTTAGGGTCGCTGGGGAATCCAGTTAATTCCATGGTTACACGGATGCTCTAAAATTACTGGATGATGGCTAAGTGCTCCACAAAGAAAGAGTCCAGGTTCCGGCTCATGACTGTGGAACTCTGGGTCTCAGATGCTATTTTATTTTAGCTCAGGAATGTTTGGTGGCTCAACCCCCTGTCTCCGAACAGCCACTTTTCTCATTTTAAAATGACCCTTCCAGAATGGCCGGTTTGGACCAACACGTCTGTATCACCTGTCCAGTGCACAGAAACACACGCTCTTTGCAAGAATGAAGCAGGGACTTTAAGACTTGAAGTCGGAAACGCCGATCTGCTGAGTGTTCAAATAACCTATAGTTTTCGGCTCAATACTCCTGATTCTTCGTTTCGGGCTGATATATGGGAAGAAACTAGTTCAAATCTGTTAAGGTTTTTAACCATAGGTCCAATGGTGAATTTGCCTTTGGAAGGCTGGGTAGAAAGCATATTTTTGCCAAACATAGTTAAGCTTTATCTATAAATAAGCCCAGAGAGAAAAACACATTTAGGATGCCTGAGCCGGCATGTTCACACATGGCATGATTATTTAGCTTGTGGTCTAATTACATTTCATGTAATAGGATTCAGAGAACTGAGTCCCTCCCACCCCTCCCCACCTTCTCACTAATGGTCACACGGGAGGCATCACAAACTGATAAAGATGAGTGACTCATGTCTTCAAACCACCCAAACACACTGGAGTAGAAAAGCAGACTTCTGACAACTGTTTAAGTATGTTTTCATCGTGTTTTCATTATAGAAGATTCTTTTGCTTTTCATCCCAGTATAGTTAACATGGAGCTTTACATCGGAGTTCAGGTTTCCAAGATAGTGATTCAGTCATTAATAGAATTTCTAAAGAGAAACCCCAAAACTAAAATGCCACATCATAAATGGGAGTTTGATGCTTTGGAAGAATATTTCTAAAAAAAAATTTTTTTTTGGTTTATTTTTGAGACAGAGACCGCCATGAGTGTGGGAGGGGCAGAGAGAGCGAGGCTCCAGGCTGTGAGCTGTTAGCACAGAGTCTGACCCTGGACTCGAACTCGGGAATGATGAGATCGTGACCTGAGCCGAAGGTGGGGCACGCAATCAGGTGAGTCACCCGGGCGCCCCTGAAAGAAATATTTGGAACACCATCTTCTTTGCTTCTTTAAATCACAATGTTTGGAGGCAATACTCCAAGAGTGGTTTTGTTTTTTATTTTTTAAATGTTTACTTATTTATTTATCTAGAGAGAGAGCGTGAGTAGGGGAGAGGCAGAGAGAGAGGGAGACAGAAAATCCCGAGCAGGCTCTGTGACGCCGGTGCAGAGCCTGACGTGTGGCTCGAACCTACGAACCGTGAGACCGTGACCTGAGCTGAAATCAAGAGTCGGACACTCAACCGATTGAGCAGCCCAGGCGCGCTCAGTGGTGGTTTTAAATCAAAGACAGAAAGGAAGAGGTTCAACGTACATAATATTTTATATTTTAGGCTGCTTTATGAAAAACTTCAAATTCTTTTAATTTCTTTGGCTTGGAGACCTAACCCAAAGGTTCAGATTTACCTTGCCCTTGGCCATGCTATCAGAGCCAACCCTCATTCCCCGCCACCACCTCGCCCCCGCGCCCCCCCCCCCCCCCCCCCACCCCCTCACGTTCGGGCAGGGCCGTCCGCCGCCGCTGCCGCCGCGGCACTAGCACTTCGACTCCCTCCGTCACCCGGCACCCCCCCCCCCCCCCCCCCCCCCCCCCCCCCCCCCCCCCCCCCCCCCAGCAGGTTCTGAATGAGCACAGACACGCTTTCTCATATCCTTTCTTAGGCTCCGCCGCACACAGCAACTCTGCTTACTGGTAAATTCCAAGAACGCAGGCTGGGTAGTCTTCCTGCTCAGGGCTTACTTGGAACCTTTAATGACAGCTGTGCTCTCAGTGAAACGTCTGAAAGTGAGAGAGACAACTATGCTTCCAAGCCAATGTCACACACTAGGTAAGACAAGTGCTACCCCCTGTTACCGTCCTGCGTCCCCGGATCCTCAGAACAGAAGTCGGTGAATTCTTCTCCCTGTTCCAGCCAACACAAAAACAGGGCAGACAGTTTCAAGGAGGCAATGAACAGTTCTAGATTTATTTAAAAAAAACAAACACCCTACTTACTAGAATAGAAGCACGAGGAAAAGGTTAGGTGACTTGGGAAATAATACATCCCCTACTGATAAGTGCACCTGGGACTCGACTTCCGCAACAAGGCTTAGCCTTCAGTACCATGACGTTTCCTATATAGATTTCTGTTCATGATGCCTGCTCCTCTGATTTACCGGAATTCCATGGATCTGGGGAGGGGGGGGGGAATAAAGGATTAAGAAGCGGGGGTCTCACCTTAGAAAACTAACACGTATCCACAACATCAATAAGGATGAAATCAGTACATCACTGAGGAGCGCTTCTCAGTAGTACCTTGAGTTTATTCTCAATGGGCTAGGGTTACAGTTTCATGGAGAATGACTCCTTGCAAGATCACTTGCTAAGGGCACATCCTAATTTTCTGATTTGAAATTCGAGAACCTCCCAAACATAAACAGGTCACCTCAAGAAACAATGTTTAAAACAGGTAAGGCTTAAAAAAAAAAAAAGATTGTAGCAGTACTCAGTGTCCAACAGAAACCACTCCGTCTGTTAAACAATATCTCGACTGCACGGCTTCTCTGGCTGTTGATGGATAGATAATGGCACGGCGCCGCCATTACCACCGTGGCAACAGTACCCAGGAACTATCAGAGGAAAATTGCACATAGAACGGCTGGATCTGGAGCAGTTATGCCTCAGCTTCCTCTGGGGTATGCTTTTTCTGCAAGTCTGGTGTGCCCTCGGGTACTACCAACCCAGTGCGGCTCCAAGACTACAGATCACGTCTCCATTTCCCGCGGGTCCCGATCGTCCCGAATCGTCCCTTGCGCCAATAGGAGCCCCGGCCGCGTCTCAAGCACTCACTGTTCTAGGGTCGGAGGAAATGGCAGTGAATTAAGCCCAGTGCCTGGGGCGGGGGAGGGGAGGGAGATCAATAAACGAGTTAATGGATATATATCAAGGTGCACTAAATCCACAGGGGAACTGAGAAAGCAATGAGCCCGGGAGGCTTTCTTTCCTCCTCCCTGGACCCCGCACACTGCTCTGTACCTGCTTCTCGTTTCTCCCGCTGACAAGCTCGGGGCACCAAGTCTGGACACCCGGCACCCGGCCCGGAAGACGTTTGTCCAGCGAACCAATTCCCTCGTAGCTCCCCGGGCAACACATCTTTCCTGGGCCTTAAGCCCAAAAGACTTAAGTGGGCCGCAAAGTCCACGACGACCCCAAACCCGGAAGGGATATGCACACAAGAGCACGCCACACGGTTTTAAACGTTATTTTCCCGGAATAATTGCGCGCTGGAGGCGGGAGCCGTGGGGCCCGGCCTCTGCTCCCACGCGGGCGGCGCGGCCCAGGCACCGCCGGGACACGTGGCCCCCCGCTTCGACGCGAACGCCCCGGCCGCCAGCGCCCAGCCCGGCCCCGCTGCCTCCACGACCGCGGCGGCCGCACGGAGGCACCGGCGTCGCTCACCTAGGCTGGGAGAGGCGGACCCAAGCCGGCTCCAGCCCCGCCGCCGCCCTTGAACGAGGAAACCGGGCGCGCAGGTATCGCGTTGCCACAGCAACTCAACCACCGCCTACACCGGAACCGGAACCTTCCCTTGGAAGTGACCTCTTCCCGGCGTTCCGCGGAACAGCGAAGCCGGCCCACTGCCCTACGCAGTCATCCGGGAGTATCCCAGCAGGCCTGTCTACCCTTCGGAGGGAAGTCGTCTTTCCTCTCGTTTCGCCTCTCCTCGCCTTGGAGCGTGACCCTGATGGACACTCACTCTTTCCAATCAACTGACAGAGCGATTGCCAGCCACCAATAGGAAGGCTGTGGGATGCGGTTCTGGTTTAAGGACCACCTCCCACCTGTCGGGGGCCGGCCGAGTCATACGATTGGTAGACTCGAGTAAGTGCGGGCTAGCGTTGTCCAATCACGGAGAGGAATTCGGAGCCGGCCCAATGAGGGCCCCCGGGGGGCGGGCCGGACTGCCGCGGGCCCGGGGAAGGCTCCCGGGGGTGAGCCGAGGTCCCGGGCCGTCGAAGGCTCCGGCCAGCGTGCGGGAATGAGCGGGTCCCTGGGCCGGGTGGCGGCGGCTCTGCTCCGCTGGGGGCGTGGCGCAGGCGGCGGCGGCCTGTGGGGCCCCGGCGTGCGGGCGGCGGGTTCGGGCGGCGGCGGCGGGGGCGGCTCGGCGGAGCAACTGGACGCGCTGGTGAAGAAGGACAAGGTGGTGGTCTTCCTCAAGGGGACTCCGGAGCGGCCCCAGTGCGGCTTCAGCAACGCGGTGGTGCAGATCCTGCGGCTGCACGGCGTCCGCGACTACGCGGCCTACAATGTGCTGGACGACCCCCAGCTCCGGCAAGGTCAGGCGGGGTCCGCCGGGTGGGGGGCGACGGGCCGGGGCCGCTCCGCGGGGCCTGGGTGTGTCGCGCCAGAGCTGTCTGGGGGCTCGAGCGGGGCTAGGGCGCGGGTTACTACTCAGTATTCGGGGTCGGGTGGGGGCATGATCGGCTGGATGTGGGTCTTGAGGATCTGGGCTTCTGGTACTCTTGCCAACTTGGGCATTGGGTAAGTCCTAGCTGTTCACCGGTCCCCACGCTGACCCCAGACAGGCGTTTTGGGGCCAGATCTCTCAGCCTCAGTCGGGGGACGGTGGTGGGGAAGGGAAGCAAGAAGGGATGCATAAGATCCACTAGGAGGCAGGCACTCTGGGGGACACGTTGAGGAGGCTGGCCTCGCTCATGTTAAGGAGCTCGTGCTGTTGATGGTGGAGGAAGGGCCGAGGTTGCCTTTGTCTGAGGCTGGCTGGTGCTTCAAGGCTCAGGGTGTCAGGAATCATCCTCTCTTGTTAAAAGGAGGGCCTTGACACAGCTTTTGGACTACTTTTGGGATCACTTGATGTGGGAGGAAAAAGTCATGAAATTTGTTTTTATTTTTTATTTTTTTTTCAAAGTTTTTTTTTTTTAAATGTATTTATTTCTAGGAGAGAGAGAGAGACAGCGTGAACAGGGGAGGGTCAGAGAGAGAGGGAGACACAGACTCTGAAACAGGCTCTAGGCTCTGAGCTGGCAGTCAGCACAGAGCCCGACGCGGGGCTCGAACCCACGAACCGCGAGATCGTTACCTAAGCGAAAATCGGACACTCAATCGACTAAGCCACCCAGGCGCCCCATGAAATTTGTTTTTAGATACTCAAGGGCAGGTTAGGATCGTGGGGGAGGGGGCGTGCTGGGGCGTGGAGAGGCTTGTGGGCAGAGAGATAAGGAATGAACCCTGTGCCCTAGCAAACTCAAGCTTGGAGCTCAAGGAACCGCAAGGATCAGTGAGGGCCTGGGCCAGATGCAGCAGGTCCTGTGGCATTGCACAGGGGACAGGAGGGAGGGCCCTGACAGCTAAGTAGTACCTCTTCTAATAAGCACCGTGCCAGGAACCTTATTGACAGGCTTTCGCGTATTTTATCTTAGTGGGGGAGGAGGAAGGGGACAGAGGAGTGTGTTGACCTGCCCCTTGGCTTAAGGTCCTGCGTCAGGGTTGGCAGAGAAAGGTGGAGGCTGTACGTACCTCCTAGAGGGTGGCTTAGGCTCCTGCATTCCTGTTAGAAACTTCCAGTGGCTGAATCCTGGCCTCTCCCTGAGCCTAGCGCTATTCTTAAGTTACAGTGCTCCAAAAACAGTTTTACAGAGCCAGCCTTTCTGTTATTCTAGGACTAGAATTCTCCATTTTCTTGTTACCTATTTAGGACTGTTATTCTCCAGTTGAAACGACCAGTCCGTAGTCTTTTCTGCTTGATGAGACTGGCCAGGGTGGTGGAAAGGTTTTGGGTTGTCATCCCTCTGCAGCCTTAAATCCCATCACTTCGTTTTCTTTTCCAGTGGCAGGAAGATAAGGAAAGCAGACTTGACAAAGTTTGCATGAGGAAAAAAGAGAAAGTAAAACTTTTTAGAAAGGGTCCATCCTTTTCTCCAGGCATACAGAAGGCATCCACTAAATGGTAGCTGTCTTATTATTGGGTTATTTTGGTTTTCAAAGTATTCCCTCCCCCGCCCCCCCGCCCCAAATTAATCCCTGGGAAACTCTTGGTTTCTGTGGGGGGAAACTCTTGGTTTCTGTGGGTGGAAACTAGGAAACTAGGAGGGGTGAAAGCAGGTTAATATTACCAGCTTGTGTGATCTTGCCCTGAATTCATGCTCATGATCTGTGTTTTCCTGCTAGAATGCCACTGGTCACTAGGCCTTGGGTTGTGGGTTGTTGTTTTTTTTTCTTTTTAAGGTGGGGGGGGAGGAGGAGGAGGGAATCTGCGGTCTTCACCCAGCAGTGCTGCTCAGCCTAAAAGATAAGATAGGAGAAACTACTCTGTAATCTTTCGGTGGGGACCTTGCCACAGCTCCCCTGCAAATTGCTGGTCTGGCTGTTAATACAAAGGTGTGTTGTTAATAGTCCGCTTAATATGAAGTTTTGAAGGTCTTTGGTTTGTGGTTTCTGCTCTGTTTAATATAACCGGAGATGGGGTACCCGGGAACATAAGGATAAAGGAGGAGCAGAAATAAGAAGGTTGGCTCACAGCACTTAGGTCCCCGTCTTCCATTTCACTGATCTGGTTTCCAGCCTCACATTCTTTTTTTTTTTTTTTTTTTTTTTTAAGTTTGTTTGTTTGTTTTTGAGAGAGAGTATGTGTACGTGAGCAGGGCAGAGGCAGGGAGAGGGAGAGAATACCAAGCAGGCTCCATGTTGTCTTTGCGGAGCCCAACACGGGTTTGAGCCCATGACCCTGGGATCATGACCTGAGCCGAAATCAAGAGTCAGTCACTTAACTGTCTGAGCCACCCAAGCGCCCCAAGTCTCACATTCTAAGTGTTCAGACAATAGCAACAGGAATTTAGCCCTTAAGTTTCCTTTTTTTTTAAATTTTTTAAAAAAAAATTTTAAGCTTTATTTTTTTGTGTGACAGAGAGCACAAGCAGGGGAGGGACAGAGAGAGGGAGAGAGAGAATCTCAAGCAGCCTCCCCGCTGCCAGTGTGGAGCCCTAAAGAGCCCTGCGGAGCCCGACACGGGGCTTGAACCCGCAAACCGTGACATCATGACCTGAGCTGAAACCAAGAGTCAGATGCTTAACCGACTGAGTTGTCCAGGCGCCCCAGCCCTTAAATTTCTTGACCGTTGAGTTTCAGCGATGCCATTCCCATTTTGTTTCATACCAGATTGTTACCTTGGTCAATAAATGTGTTGCATAGATGTTGAGCATAACACACCTTTTCTGTCGCTTAGAAAAAGAAACCCGCAGGCAAGTGTTAACCTTGAGGCTGGAGGCAGGGTCATGTGCAGACGTCCCCCACAGTGGGGATTTGTTTAGCCAGAGTAAGACTTCATAATAACCATTCAGACTCATCATCTCTTTATTCTCTGCTCTTTGGAGTTTGCCCAGAGAAGCTGTCTGTTGCTTGCTTTTGCTAGTCAGTGCTACAGCGGCACCTTTCCCAGACTCAAGGTCACTGCTAGTAACCAGAGAAGGGCTCCTGCAAAACTGTCCTTCCTTTTCTCTTGTGCCACTGCTTTACAGAGGGCCCAGAGCTTGGAGAACATCCACCGACGCTGTCGTGTTCTGGCTGCCTGGGGCCCAAGGTGCGACGCAGAGAGGTCTCAACCTGTAGCCCAGGGAACAGACGACTGTGAGGTCCTCCGGTCTTTTCTTTCTCCTGTTTCTCTGGAATGCACACACAAGGCAGCCACAGAGGGATTGCGTCCCAGCAGACAGATGTCAGCATGTCCAAATCCTGGTTTTATTTATTTATTTTTTTAAATGTTTATTTATTTTTGAGAGACAGAGTGTGACCAGGGGAGGGGCAGAGAGAGGGGGAGACACAGAATCAGAAGCAGGCTCCAGGCTCTGAGCTGTCAGCACAGAGCCTGATGCGGGGCTCAAACTCACAGACCGTGAGATCATGACCTGAGCTGAAGTCAGATGCTCCCCGACTGAGCCACCCAGGCACCCCTCCAAAACCTGGTTTTAACAAGGACTATCTTTTATTTTCCATTGTAAAAGTAACATGCTTATCGAGGAAACTTGGAAATGCCAGATGTAATAAAGCAAATGAAAAAACTACCTGAAAGTCTATATACACCTTTATTAACATTTGGATCTAGTTTCTAGTTGTTGGGTGTTTTTTGTTTGTTTTGTTTTGCTTAAAAAACACATTTGAGATCACGCGTGTCCCTGCTCAGCACTTTGCCCTCTGGAGAGCAGGGAGCCTGTCTGACCAGATTGCCTGAGTACCATGTAGATTGCTTATGTGGAGCAAGCTTTCAGTGATGATTTTAATGAATAAGTAAATACTTCTCTTATTTATCATATGACCTAAACCATCTTCCATGCTCTTTAAAAACAGAAGCCCTCTTAAATTTCTTCGTGTTCAGATCACCATTGTATTCCTTTCAAGAGGAGCAGTGTCTGTTGAATGAATAGCCATTATCCCATTGTTGAATATTAAGCATTTGAACTTTGAAATTTGGGCAACAGTAACAAATCTGGGACCTTGGCAAATGTTAAAAAGTCAGGTTAAGGAGTGGTGTTTCTGGTCTGTGCGATGGATGTGTTAACATGCGGCAGATGAGAGAATAAAATGGTACCAACACTTTGGAGGAGTTACTGTCAGTGCCGGGTCAAGTTGAAGGTGACCCTAGCCGAGGACCCAGCTGCTTCCCTCCTGGGTATAGTCTAGAGTGGGGGCTGACAGATGACCTTTTAAAGGTCTTTGTGAAACAACACCGGTCCATTCTGCCCGTGTGGCCTGAAGGTAGGAAGATAGGTAGGTGTGTCCGAGTCCCAATAAAACTTTATTTACAAAAAACAGGAAGTGGACCACATTTGGCCCAAAGGCCATAGTCTGCCACCCCTTTCTCCAGCGAGGAAGATCCCTGTGTATAAGTTAGAAGACATAAGATTCACTGAAGCATTGCCTGTAATAATGAAAACTTGGCCAGAAAGCATCTTGGTCTATTAGACTGGATAAACAGACCGCAGTGTAGTCAGGTGATAAAAGCTAAGTTGTGGTAAAATGAACTAGATCTAGATGTATTTCATATGACTGAATCTCAAAAACTACAGTGTTCAGTCACAAAGTAAGTTGGAAAAAGGTAATCACGGCATAATGCCATTTGTGAATACAGACGTTACAGGTGTGAAACGGCCCCACGTGTGGCAGGTACATGTGCAGTTGTACGGTTCGTGGGCAGGGGTGACATGCCCGCCAGAGGCCACCTGTGGCGGTCTGGAACCTGGCCCTTGGATTCCTAGAAACCTGGGTGGAAATCCAGGCTCCGCTGTTTGCCAGCCCTGCGACTTCGGTTAAAGAACTTCTCTGAGCC